AAATATTATATTTTAAAACATCTGCTAAAATATGTCGTAAATGATTTGAAAGTCGATAATATAATCTGAGGTGATTTTTTGGAAAAAAAAAATATTTCAAACAAATTTTTTTGTACCAAAAGCCCGATTGTTGGAGGCCCATCTGAGATAAATCTTAATATTTTTTGGAAATATTTTAGCGGAAGTTTTAAAATATAATAAATTTTATAAATCCGGTAGAAAACCCACCACAACTTTTTAGGTGAGGCACCCTAAAGTACATACTACTTACATTAAACGGTCTCACGCTTCTTTCAAAGAAAATCTATTCGTCTTACCGAAATATTTCGGTTCAAATCAGCATTATTTATATGTATTAAAAACGCCATGTGAAAGTGTAATTTTTTATGTATGTACATTAGACTGCATCACCAAAAACAGTTGAGTTTTTTCTTCCGGGATTACAAAGTTTGTTATATTTCAGAAAAATATTAAGATTCGCGTGAACTGGACCGATTAAAAAATACCTACAAAAAGTATGGTCACTAAACCAAACTTTTTTTAATGAACTTCTCGGTGTTTGCCCATATCTCGTAAATAACAAGGAGCTACAGAAAAAGTGTAATTCACAAACTTGTTGGATATTAAATCTCCTACAAAAAAAATCTAGAACACCAAATTGTTAACATAGATATTTCTTGAGATTACCGATTTCTATAATTTAGCTCAAACATCTATGAAAATTCCTCACTTCCTTAACTTCGAAACCCAATGCCTCAAGAAGTAGCGGTGTTAGCGATTTGGTGTTCTGGAACTTTTTTGAAGGAAATTAAATGTCCTAAAAGTTTGACTTTTACATTCCCCTTATTTGCGAGAAATGCCTATGAGCTGTAGAATTTTGTAGCAAAAAAATCAAAGTTAACATTAATAGTAAGGGCTCACATTTTCAGGGATTTTTTTTGGTACTTCCCACAAAATTTCGAGGTGGGCGTGGAAAAAATAGTCGCAAAAAAACACCCTAATGTACATACTGCATCTATTGTTTTTTATTGAATCCTTTAATTTGTTTACACAAGGCATGCAAATTTTCAATGAACTCGCGA